GATGACTCTTCAGTGTCTCCGTACTGCTGCACGCAGTGCTGACATCCCTATTCACATCATTTCTTCCAGTGTGGCCTGAGCCACATATGATGGTGCTCAGGCTCAGGTGTTTCAGGTCTTGGGAGACCCCGGAGTCAGCACATCCTGCAACAGAATGTGCTACAGTTTATGGCACTGCAGTGGGCTGTAACAGAGTGGCTGATTTGCTACTTGCAGATGTGCCTCTCTCCTCCAGCTTCTATTTTAGAAGCAATTCATTCCCTAGCAAACCTGGGGCAGCAAGCCCTCTCTGCACCCTCTGTCATCTACTTATGCCAGCATTCAAACCTCTGTTCTCTTTTCAGATCATTTGTGGGGGGCAATTTCCAGTCACCTACTTGAGCACGTATTTCAGGATTCACTAGCAGGAGCTTGGCCCCTCTCTGTGACCCGACACAGACACTTCTGTGCACCTGAGGCTATAGGGAGAGCTCATTGAAAGAGGTGTACACCAAGGGATCATGTCTCTGCAGGAACAAACTGCCTCCTGTGGTGGAACTTCCAAACCCAGTCTGGACATCACAAAGTACAGTGCAGTCTCCCATTAGAGCTAGTTGATCTCCCAAGGGGGTAAGAGGGGGAGACAGAGAGACATGTGACAGATGCCTGGGAGTAAAGGATTGTCTCAGTCTTTTAATGAACTATATCCTCAGAGACCTGAGAAACTCATGCCATGTATTATGTGACCTACATCTAATCATAGGGGCTCAAGACCCTGTTCTCTGAGACTGATGGCTAAGGGGTCAGTTGACTGAGGAGGGTGGATATGGCTTGCCTGCTTACTGGGGGATAATGAAAACTCAGCACCCCTCCAACATACTTACTGCAGAAGCCCATTCCAAGCTCCTAGACTACAGCCATGCCCATCTCCCCCAGAAGGATGCTTGTGCAGGATGTGGCTTCTTGGGCACCACATGGCAGGGCTGGAGGGGCTCCCCATGCCTTGCTATGCTCAGTGCTCCGGCATCTCATTCTCCTGCAGCTGGGTAACAGTGGGGTGCCAGAGGGGAATGAACCAGCAAGCAGGATTTAAAAACCAGAGCAACCCACCCTTTCAAGGTCAGACTCAGGTTGAGCTGCACAGGGTTTTCTCTAAGAGGCCACCGGAGCCCTTTTGTTCCTCGCTGCTCTCACCATGTTCATCCCAATGTACATGTGAAAGAAACAATTAACAATAGGGCACTCCTCTACGAGGATCCAATGCACTTTGAAGTGTCCACCAACCAAAGGCTCAAGAATGATACATCATTTTCCACTGTGAACATGTCAAACTAGTACAGCAATTGAAAAAATGTCTCCACATGCCTTCCCAGCATGCAGACAGGGACCAGCTGGAGAGCCACTTCATATCCGACATGTCACCCCCTGACAGCTGTCTTCTTGGGAATTTTTGCTATGTAAAGTTTTCTGACTCCTTTTTTAAAGTAAAGCACAAGAATTAATCCGTTCATTTGAAAATTGCAGCCAGGTCTCTCCTAAAATGCAGTATTTCCTTCACGACTGAATGAAGGTTTTCTTGCACAAAAATACCTGCAAAGTGTTTTTAAAGTGTCACTCGTAAGTGATGTCAATATTTAGTCACTTCTACATAAAAATCTCCCACAGCTTTTTTCCAGGCTGAGGGGCCCATTCAGCAAAGGTATTCCAGCACCAGGCTGTCCTGGACCATGTGAGCAGATGCACTAACCACAAGGCACACCATTAACTGGGGCAGGGATCCCTCTCTCCTAAGTGTCACAAGCATTTCAAAGAGCAGGAACACCCAAATCATGCTGGTAAAGCAAAAGGCAGCTCACTAAACAGATGAGCAGCAAAAAAATGTCAGAGGTCACTGTTCTGACACTAGTTAACTCAAAATTCTTTTTCCTCCACTAAAATGAAGCTTTTTCTACATACTAACCTAAGCAACAGGTTTTGTCACAGGGTTCACCCTACTGTCAGGAGGAGAGGAGAGGTTCGGAGAGGAGAGGACTCCTTGTTGAGGTTAGTGGATGTGCACTTTGAAGCAAAGAGAAAATGGGGGTCCAACAGTTGGGAAACGTAAGACAATAAGCTGGAAAATTTCCAGATGGGTCACCAGTGAATTGTTCCTTTACTTTGTCCCCTACAGGCAGTTAAAAGCAAAGATATTTCAGTTGCATAATATCTTTTCACTCACCTGCTGCTTCCTAAGTCTCTGCTTTGCTTCCACACTTGAAAAAGAGAGCCAAGAGTGTGACGGGAGGTGATAATGGTTCATGTGAAACCAGAAGTATTGGCCTGGAGAGGAGTAGTATTGAGATGGAAGAAGACACTAACACTCTTACTCAGGGATCCTGATTTTATATTTCATGTTGACAGTGACTGAAGTGGAAAGATGTCAATGACACACTGATGACATAAAAATGGATGTTATTTAACATCAAACTGCAAGAACTGGGTAATCTTAGGAGTAAATGCAATGAGAGAGGAAAGGATTGCAATAACTCTGAGCCACGCACCTCAGGAACTGATAGCAGGAATTTCTGTCATGAGGAAAAATATCATTGCCTGGAAATGAGAACGAACAACAGCTTATAGGATGAAAATAAACCTCCCTCCATCTAGTTTGACCTTCAAAGTGGCAGGGGAAAAAGGGGTGAGGGAGACAGGTAGTATGGTACTGACACTGTTCAGACCTCTGAACAGGTTGTTCTCTAGACTTGGAGCCTGGTCTCAGCCTGGGATGTGAGCCTGGCCAACTCAGGACCTGTGGGTTCATATGAAAGGAATGTCTGACAGAGTGTGCATAGGGGTGCAGCCAAAGCCCTTGGCATCCCTTCCTGCACCCCAGCACACAGGTGCTGCAGACAGCAGCAGGGCTGTCTTGCTCTGCCACTGACCCTCATGCAGCCTGGTCCTGCCCCAGAGCTCAGGGAAGGAGTATATGAGTCCTCTAATCTCAGGGAAGGAGAATATGGAATTTCTTCCCAGATTCCTGCTGTCCAGTTGTCCACTTTGCTCTCTCTCCTCATCTTCTCATTGTAACTAACACCTTTGCTCCCAGGAGAAGAGCAACCTGGCTCTCCCAACAGATAGTTTTGACTCTTTCGCCCCACTCTTTTTTTTTCCTTCTTGACAGTCTGCTTTGACCTGAGTGACATCCTCTCTTTGCTTTCAATCCCTGATTTTCTGCACTTGGGGACAGACTTTGAGCAGGCACTAAGTGCTGAGGCCATGCAGAGACGGTGAGGGGGGGCTGCAGCTACCCCGCAGCCTGCCATTCAGGCAGATGGTGGAGAGGGCCGATATGAATAGCTCCTGTCAGTCTCATAGAGCGAACTTTACAATTGTGCTACGTGTTGGACTGCACGTGACTAATGCCATTCTTCTGCAGGCTGCAGGCAGGACACAGCTGTTTCTTTAAGGAGAATTTTGTTTTTCTGGGCAGAAAAGAAAAGCACCCATGACAATGTTGTATTCATGTATCCAATATTACACTCCATAATTGGGCACGATCAAAGCTCATCCTGCCTTTCACTGTGTCTCTTTCTGGTAAATAAGATAATGTTTAAAAAAGAGCATGGCCTTGGTTTGGTCCTTCTGGAGGTTTAAATTCTATCTCCCCACACAGCAGGTATGCACTGAGAAGAAGCAGTAGGGCCAAATATAGGTTTCTTTATATAATTCTGAATTAATTAATTTCAAGATCAGTAATGAACTCCACGCCAAACGCTACATGGAGCTTCTGTTGATGAGAAACTGTGCTGCAGAAAAGATCAAAAAAATACAGACATCAATATAAACATGTGAAAAGGTGAAGACCTTCTCTTAAAAGCTGCAAAATAAGAAATGCACAATGGGTGCTGGACAGGGGATGAGTCTGGATCTTGAGTTTACAGTGCAGAAGGGCCATGTGAGACCAGAAGGGTAGTGCTCCTCCTACCCGCATTTTGGTCAGGCTCACAGCCCTGTTCTCTGTTCCACTGTCTTGGATGAGGCTTCTCCACATCAGTGTTTCAACACTGAAATCAGTGCTGGGTGCAGCCAGAAACACACCCCTGACACTCCTGCACCAGCAATTCCTTACCCTGGGGCATGCCCCTGTCCCACAGCCCAGACAGAGTTGCATGTGCAATTTGGCAGCCCTTGGCATTGGGATAAGATGCAGACAGCCCCAGGCAGTGCTGCCCTGAGCTGGCCCCCAGGGCAGTCTGGCCACGAGGCACACAGCTATCTATTTAGCAAGGCACGGTTATATCCCTAACATTTCCTTCCGATTGCCTCCCTTACTGTGTTTCCAGACAGACTATCTGCCCACCAGCACTGGTGAACCACACCATGCAGCTACACTATCTTTTATCTTATAACTTTAGCACAATTCATAATTTGGGGAGTTCAGCCACCTTTGCTGTAGGGAGCAGTTCTCAAAGAAGTAGAATCAAGGTTGTACCAAGTTCAGTGTCATCTCTCCATCCCAGTTTTGGAAATGTCCTTCTCTAAAGTTATCCTTTTGCTTCAAAGGACTGTGGAAAGGTGATGAGGGCTGTAGCTGCTGCTGAGGGTCACCTTGGGAACCCCTAGAAGGGTCCATGGGAGGTGAGTGTCGGGAAATGCGAACAGCACACTGCACTTGCTGAACAAGCTGGTCACAAGGAGCTTTGCAGGGCCTGCTTTTCTGCAAGGTGGGTAGAAACTTCCACAGGAGAGGAAATTATCACAGAGATGGAGAAGCATACACTTCTCTGGAGTGCTGCTGCCGTCCTTATTACCCTGACGGTGCCCAAATGTGCGCCTTTGTGCTGAGCACCTTGGGACTAAGTGTATATGCCAAGGTCTGCCTCTCAGCGTGGTGCATTTGATTCCCAGGCTGTGCTGGCACAGGTACGGGGCCATCACCCGGGGAAAACGCCTGTCCGCCTCGCCGCTCTGCTCCAGGGAACAGCACGTAAATCCACATCCCCTTCCCCGGGGTGCGCTGGAACAGCCCGAGCCGGGGCTGTGCCGCGGCGGTGCCGCGAGGCGGCGCTGCGGGAGCCCAGCTGGGCCCGGCCCGCTCCCTCCGTGGGTTTTCCTCTTTGCTATGGTCCGTCCTCTTCCCTCTGCCTCCTTCCTTCCTTCCTTCGTTTTCTTCCTCCCTGCTTCCTTTCCTCCTTTCCTGCCTTTTTCTTTCCCTTCCTCTCCTCCAGCGCTGCTCCCGGCCCCGGCAAGCCGCAGCCTTTACTCCGGTCAGAAAAGCCAACATCAGGGGTTAACTGTTATTTATAACAAATCCCCTCCCTCCCTTCTCCCTTATCCCCTTTCAGACGGTGCTGAGAGGTGCGTTCGGGAGTTGCTCTCATCTCCCCACACTGTGCTGCTGCTGCTAAAACGCTGCGCACCGGGAGAACAGAAAAACCATCGCAGGGAAACAAACGAGCTTCTGTATCCAGGAGTCCCTTGCACGGGCAAAAGGTTCAAGGATGCCTGAGCAAAACCCAGGACAGCCCTAGAGCTCCCTCAGTTCATTGCTGCCTGAGCATCCTCAGCGCCTTCCAGGCGCTTGAATCCAAATCTTCGGGACCAATCCTGCATTCATAAAGCATCGGTAAGATTTGCTGAGGAAAATAGGGTCTGCAGCACATATTGCAGTGAAGAAATCGAGCAAATTACAGAGCCAGTATTGATCGAGGCATTAGTGATCAGAATCAGTCTCTGCTGGAGCTCAGTATTTGCTCTAGAAGCTCTGGGCTTGGTACTCCCACTGAAGCCAAAATTTAACTGGGCGTGGATTTTTACAGGTGCCAAATTAGGTTCCACCATTAGTTTTCCATTAAAAGCGCAAGAGCTGGGTACTTGGAGCACATTAGCACTCTGCTTTTCTGGGATATTGCAGTGTTTACGTCCACTGGGATTCTATGGTGGGTGCTGACAGGAGGCAGCAGGGTTCGGTATGTGCTCCTGCAGAATGTAAACTACTTTGAGCACCAATATGCTGAAGTAAAAAAAAAAAAAAAAAAGTTTATTTGCCTTAACACAATCTCTTCAATCATCTTTTGAAGAGAGAATGCTAATAAAGAAAAAATTAATGTTTAATTGCTTATGACAAATAACAATAAGAATATATTGTCCAAATTGGGCAGCCAAACCAATTTTTCCAAGTCTGATGCCAAGTTTGTCATTTTTCTTCTTTTCTTTCTGCCCCCAGTGAATGTAGTACATCGGAAAGCCTGTCACTGTTGCACAAGCTAGATCTGTGCATCAAGCTGCCAGGCACGAGCAAAGCTTCACATGACAGATAGTGGTATTGGAGAGCCTGGTCTGATCCATCATGGAGGACCAGGGAAATTAATCCAGATGGATAGTACTTTTAAGTAGTGCTTCGCTCACAAAATTCTCTAATCAGTGGGTCATGGTGAATGAGAAGTATTTGTAGCTATTTGTGAGAGTAGCTTAAATGTCTATTGCTTGCAGTGTGATTTGCACCTTGGCAATGAAATTAATAGACTTTTATATCTGATGAAACTTTTTATGTCTGAGGAGGCTTTTATACCTGAAATACTTAGCAGAATTTGTATTCTTTTCTTCATGGAATTATAATATGAAGCTAGGCTCAAGGACAGCAAAGAGTGGTACAAGCAATACTTTGGCATAGCTTTGGCAATCCTCAGCTTAGTGACTGCTGTTTGTTCTATCAGATAGGAGTGACACAAAGTAAACTAGAGGAGACTTACTCTTTGCCAGCCTGACTAAAACAGAGCTCTGCCTCTTCATCTGCTTGTCAGAGAAAGATCTGTAGACTATAGAGCTACCTGCACTGAGAGTAAATAGGAAGAGAAAGGGTGAAAATGCAACTTGCTGTCCTGCTGGAAGTCTCCTTCTCACTGACAGGAAGAGGTATGAGCATATATGTGTGCTGCTGTAGATCCCAGTTCAGAGGAATACATGAGCACGAGCTTATGTGCACTCTAAAGATGTCAACATATTCTTATTTATATGGACTCTACTAAATTAACCTTTGATTAGCAGCAATCAGTTCTCCCTAACCCACTTCGTTTGGACAATGCAAAAGACACTACTCCACTGTGTTCAATGCTGAACAGAATACTAATTCCAGCAGTCCAGGTTTACAATGTGATATATTTGAAACAATTGTCCAGTTGCAACTGATAGAACTTAAGTGTTGGATACTGAGGGAGTCCTCAGGCCTGAGCTGGTCGAGAAATCCCCCTCAGTCTAAGAGCTTAACCTAGATGTACAGGACCCTTCTTTTAAGGATTCGTTTTGCTGGAAAATGCAAAAGGTTTACATTTTCTGATGAACAAGTGATTACAACTGCATTATTCCCAGAGCTGAAGCTTTGATGGCAAGGTGGAACACCTTCGGACAAAGAGAAGCACAGCCAGCCTCTGAAAAGCAGACCCTTTTGGATAAATTGACCTGGATAAAACAACAAGGACAAGATAGCATTCAACTAAGTGTGCTGAAAGAGCAAATATGAAATTTCTGAGCTACCAAAGCAGAACTTACACCAGCCACCACCTCAAGGAACAAAGGTGAGTAATGTAATAGGGAGCTGTATGAATAACAGAATAAATATAGCAACATTTCCTCTGGATTGGTGGTAGGTTTACAAAAGGGGTGTCTAAGGGCTTATGCTAGGATCGATGCTGTTCACCATCGCTATATGGGGCATGGCAAAGCGGGTGAATACTGGCGAAGTTTGCAGATGATACAAAATTATTCATAATAATCAAAGCTAAAGCTGACTTTTGCAGAAGGAGCTTATAATACCAACTGACAGTGAAGTGCCAGATGAAATTCAGTATTGACAAGTGCAAAGTAAGGCACTTAGGGAAAAAATAACTCTACTTATACATCTGCAGTGACGGTCTCTAGATAGCAACACTCAAGAAAGATCTTGGGTAACTGAAATTGAGGTTTCTGAAAACATCACTTACTGCCCTGCAACAGTCAAAAGGCAAATTGGATAGTAGGAATTGCTAAATGAGAGAACACAATAAAACAGAACAGAAAATAGTGTTCCAGCACTGAGCTAATAACTTTAGAAAAGATATAGAACAGGTAACAAGGATGGTCAGAGTTTTGTAACAGTTTATTTTTCATGAAAGACTAAATTGGACCTTTTCAACTTGGAAAGAAAACTACCTGAGGTGACTAGATGTAAGTGTATAAAATCGCCAATGGCATGGAGAAGGTAAACAGACCAAGGTTAATTTGTATTTCTCTGATACAAGAATTAGGGACAACAAATTAAATTATCCTACAATAGATTTAAACCATAAGGAAGAAATTTTCCACATGATGCATTAAATCATGGGACTTGTTGCCAAAACAGCAACTTGTTGTTGCACAAATGCGTTTAAATAAGACTTAGACAAAGTCATGCCATATAGGACCACTGTTAGGATGAAAAACCCACCTTCAACCTGTAGCTCAGGGACTCTTGAAACTATTGATTGTCAAAAACCAGAAGAGGGTATCAGGTGCAGATCACTGTATACTGCCCCTGTCCTTGTGCCCTTCCTTAAATATCTACATAAGCTGATATCTGAGGTGAGATACTGGGCTATAGAGACTTTTCATCTTATTCACAGGAGCATTTTTTATTTGAAGGAATGGGAAAATACATCCTGGGTATGATTATGCAGTGAGAGGCAAGGAATGTGTGTACTGGAACCATGTGAAAGACAAGGTCCCATTTCCTTCCGCTACTACTTACGAGTTTGTTTGGGACTATTCTGCATTGATAGCAGTTTTGTTTTGATCTTCATAAAAGGACGTCTGCAGCTCAGAAAGATTTAGTTATGATTTTTTTTAAAAGACGAAGTTGTTCTAGGGAGCTAACGTAATTCAAAGTGTCATCCATCATGAAAAAAATACTTTATTTTTTTGTGAAGATTTTGTTTGAGTTGTTGTTTTATTATGGTCTCAGTCACAGCATCTTTTCTTACACCAGAATATACAGTACTGAGCCCATCAAAACAAAAGTCCTGGTCCAGTTCTGAAAGCAGCAACATGCCTGCTTATCTCTGAAGCCTCTCCCCAGCATGGCAGGAAGTCAGGGTGGCCATTCATTTCTATACACTTGAGTGTGTGTGTGCTTGCAGATTTGTGGTGCAGGAGAAAATCCAAGCCAGAGAGAGATATATAAAATTATATTTCTTCTTATTTACTTGTTTGCAGACTCTACCAGGGGCTCAGATGCACTAGATCAGTTGGCACAGTGTCTGCATCTAGGCTGACTGTGGGGTCTAAAACATAAACAAAGTAGGCAGTTGTTGAAGGCAGCACACAACTAGCAGCAACCAGATGCGGGCCTGACAGCAGGAGCAGACAAGCTCCTGGGGCAGCACAAATTCAATTTTGCTCAACTTGCTGCTGAGTCTCGTGTTGCATTGCCTGGTTTGCAAACACAGGGAGGCATTTTCCCACTGGAGCTAAAACTCACTGAGATGGGGATGTTTCTGCTGTCCCATTTTATCATACAGATTTCATGACCACATTTGAGGACTTATCCGACATAGAGACAAAAGTGAAAGACTTTGAAATTTCCCAGGAGTGAGACAAATACCCATCCTCAGCCTCAGGAGCCTTCTGATACTGCAATGAAGTGGTTTTGGTAGGAAAACTTTGGTTGCTTTCTGTTCCAAACAGCTCAGCTTTGATAAATGCAGCAGGATTGATCTGTGCTGTGTGTCCCTTAACTGAGTTACCATGTATAATCCTCTCTGGAACAGAACATTTACATTCCACTGACCTAGTTGAAAAAATGCATTAATTTTAATTTATGCAAAATTCTCCCAATAGAAGAGTGAGAGAGGCAGTTTTTTATTTGCAGTCCTTGCCTGCTTGGAGCTAGAAGTGAAGGCCAACTTTTTAATCAGGATTTTTTTTAAATGCTGAAGCATTTCAGTGGGTATCTTGTTCATGTAAATCCAGATAGAGCTTTATTAGCTCACATATATCTCATGGAGTCACAAATACAAAATGTACCATCAACCTGTCTTTTCTCCCCTGCAGGGTGTCTCTCTGCCTCTGGAGACCCCTGTGCAACGGGGCACCAAGGATAGTTTAACACAAGAAAGAAAACAAAGCCTTCACCCAGACACCTCATTTCAACTGGCCCTGTTGCACATCTCTGTGAAGGCTGATCCCATATGGAGGGATTGGGGAACTTTATTGTTGAAGAGGGGGTTAATGGTGCATATTCCTATATCAGCTGACCTGAAAAGCTGACCTGAAAAGCTAACCAGAGAGCATGGTTAGCCCACAGCCCCAGTGCTGCAGTTCCATCAAAGGAAAAATGGCCGGTAACATTTGTGAGAGTTAGCTGTGTAGCCAAAAATTTGGCTGTAGGGTCACTTCATCTGTCTCAGTGGGTCAAACACAACAGGTACATTTACAAAAGGAACTGAGTGGAGGGTGGTTTGCTATTGCTTCAGCATGGAAAAACAGAGGGAAAGATGCCTCATGTTAGAATTCCCTTTAGTAAGAATCATTTTGGGGTCTTGACTCAGCAATGTGGCTGCAGCCAGCCAGCCCCATTTCCACATGGGAGGCTGGCAGAGCAAAGAAGAGGTAGGAGCCATCGTTATTGCTCAGCAAGCTCTTTGGCAGTTACCAAAATTGCTGCAGTCAGTGTGAAATAAAGCAAATTCAGGAGCTTTTCATACCAAAATGGCCTAGGAACAGGAGAGCACTACAGTGTCTAAGTCATCTTTTTCTTTACTCCTGCATAAAGGGCAAATTTGGGGCAGGTGAGCATGAGGTCCTTTCTCTGTCCCTGGGGGCTCAAACCCAGCCTGTCTTATGCTGACAGCCCAGCTGTGGCTGAGGGTACTCCTCTTTCTGTGCCCAAAGCAGGAGCTCTGCAAGCCTGAGCAATGCCACAGCTGTCCACAGGAGCCTGTGTGTGACCTGAGGGGGCAACTCAGAAACCCACTGATCTGGGGAGATGTTTGGATCCCAACTGTGTCATGAGCCCTCATCCTATAGCGGAAGCATCAAACGCAGCCTATGGTCACGCACTGTTGTTGGATAGTATTTTGTCTCATGCAGTCCTTGACAAGGTTACCATGCAAACATAGGAACCACAACTTGAGTAAATGAGAGGAAAAAAAAATCCCAAACCATACAGTTATCTGCAACTGTATAATTCTTAAATCTCCTTAGCATGTAGTACCCTGCTGTTTACAGTCTTGCACCTTTCTTTGTTTCAAAATCATCTCTATAATAACTCCAAGAATGAGAAAAAATTCCCTTGAAGGTGCAAGTAAGCATCTGTGTTTACTGGAGATATCACAGCGATGAATTTTATTGCTAATGTGTAAGGGCAAGAGCCACCATGCTTCCAAGAGACTACTGCCCACCTGACATGATATTTTTTCTTGGTTGCTGGTATCTTTAGCTTACAGTAAAGCTCATTTCAAATGGAAAGTACTGTAGATGTTTTGCTTATTACCAATGGAAATGTGATGGTGTGTTCTCAGTAAGGCTCTGAATGTGCTTATCTCCAGCTGTTTAAGAACACATTCATGTTGCTGAAGAAGGGCAATCCCTACACTAAACTGCAGCTGCTCGGAGAGATATAGTATTGTAAAATGCAGACAGTGATTTGTGACAATAGAGGAATTTTCCTTTTTTTCCCCAGCCAAAAAGCAGTCATTTTACAATCTATCTTATGCAGCATGAGAAAGCTATTATGAAAAGTAACCTTTCCCTTTTTCCAAATGAATGGATACCAAGAACATCAGGGGTATAGTATCAGGCAGGTATAAATAATGAAAGTTGAGGAAAGCAGAAGGTATATTGTCCACAAAAAGAAGTACCCCATCAGCTCCCTGAACATATACAAAGATTTATTTGGTAATTAAACCAGCAATATTAATTTCAAACATTACAATCCAATTGTCAGGTTTTCAACCCTAGATAACTCACAAGCTGTCAAATCTCCTTCCAAACACATGCACACTCTTACAAACCTGTCTTTCTCTGCAACTGGACTTCGGCAGAGTCTTAATTACTTCAAGAGAGAAAGATGCTTATGCAATGATACAACTTTTGCTAAAAATAAAGAAAATAGAAATCTATAAGTAATATCAATGAAATTTTATCAGCCATTCTTCCAGGTATGGAAGTGTTGAGAAGAGACCAGACAGTAGCACTAGACCAGTTGTTCACTGAGTAGCTTGGTAAAAGCAGTCTGCAGGTGGAGATACTTTTTCAGAAGAATCTTTATCTTCCATGGAATTTGTCATGATATTCAGGAATTTGAATTACTCATAGTTTATAGGGATTTGCTATTATTAATCTAGTTTGTTTTAAGATTTCAAATGTCATTCTGTAATGTCACTCTAAGGACAAAGCTGACCAAAGCTTTCTGACAGAGAAGATCACTCCACGGTTTTGAACACACCTGGTGTTTTGTGCCATCACATCCAGACGCTTACTAAGAAAAGCAGCATATAATCATGAGCATCCTACCTCTGTGGTCAGGTAGGATTTGTTCAAATAGGGGTGGCCCACTGCGCTA